GGGAGCTAAGACTACTACACAAGAGACTGGAGCCATGGGGGGAGCGACTCCGAAGATTTTGGATGATATTCGGTTATTCTGCTCTTTGCTCCAGAAAGATGAAGATGATGCTTAAGTGTTTATCTTGGAATGTGAATGGGTTGAATTCAGCGCAGAAAAGGAGGAAATTATTTACATATTTGAAACAATTTAATAATGATATAATTTGTCTACAAGAAACGCATATTACAGTTCAAGATCAAAAATATTTGATAAACTCCAAATTAGGAATACATTTTATATCTTCAACGTTGCAAAAAAAGAATGGTGTGGTTATCTATGTAAATAAGAAATTTACGGCTAAAGTTATAGAAACAGATGAAGATGGTAGGTTTGTAGCAATTGAATTACTTACAACATATGGTCAAATTCTTTTGATAGGAATTTATGCTCCCAACCAACAACAGGATTATTTCTATAAAATGTTACATACTAAAATACTACAATGGGACTATAGATCTATTTTAATCATGGGAGACTGGAATGGAGTAATAGACTCTAAATTAGACAAAAGGAGTTCAGCGAAATCTAGGATTAGGTTACCTCAGACCTTTTTTGATATGAAAGAAGATTTGGAACTAAAAGATATTTGGAGAATACATACCCCAAAAGAACTGGACTATACTTTTTATTCAGATAGACATAGATTCTTCTCTAGGATTGACTTCATTTTGTTGTCAGATGATCTACTTGTTAAGACAAAAAGAACAAAGATTTTTCCAAGAACTTTGACTGACCATAGCCCAGTATGGATAGAAATTGAGATGGATAAGATTGAGAGACGTTCTTGGAGATTAAATGAGAACTTGTTCAGATATGAAAAAAACACAACAGAATTTAAAAAGCATTTGAAAGAATTTTTTGAAATAAATTTGAATAAAGGTACCCCAATAGAAATTGTGTGGGATGCAAGCAAAGCCTATATGAGAGGGGTGCTTATCCATATGAACTCTAAACATAGACTGTTTCGACAAAAGAAAAGATCTGAATTGGAAATAGAAATAAAGAATAAAGAACAGTTACTTATTAAAAACCCAACAGATGAAAGAATATGCGGTGCTATAAAACTCTTGAAAGATCAATTCCAAATGCTTATGGCGGAACAAGTAGCAACAAACTTACAATATGCGAAGCATAATACATTTTGTAACGCTAATAAACCGGGCAGATGGTTGGCTTACACATTGAGGAAAAAACAAAGTATATGGACTATTGATAGTATTGATATTGGAGGGAAAGAAATTTTTCAACAAAAATTAATTAAAGAAGCTTTTGTGGATTATTATACCAAACTATATGCCAAAGAGGAGGTGCAGAATGGACTTATAGAAAAATATTTAAATGATAAAAGAGTTACAAAAATTACTGATCAACAAAAGGAAAGAATGAATTATCCTATAACAGAGGAGGAGATAATAGTAGCAATTAAACAGTTAAAAACAGCCAAAGCTCCTGGCACGGATGGTTTGACCGCAGTGTATTACAAAACTTTGCAAGCTGAAATGGTGGAACAACTCAGAGATTTATTTTGCAATATTCAACAAGGGGGTAAAATACCCCCATCATGGACAACAGCTTACATATCTTTGATACCAAAAGAACAAGTTGGTCCTAAAAAACCAGAGAACTACAGACCAATATCTCTTTTGAATACAGATTATAAAATCTATGTGAAAGTATTAGCCAACAGGTTGATGCCAGTAATCCAAAAGGTGATTCATGATGATCAAGCGGGATTTATCGAGGGCAGATACATGAAGGATAATGTAAGGCAAGTAATAGATTTATTGGAATATCTTGAGAAGAATAAACAGATTCCTGCAGTGCTGGTCTTTTTGGATGCAGAGAAGGCCTTTGATAGAGTGGACTGGAATTTTCTACTAAAGACTTTAAAAAAGATGGATTTTGGGGATCAATTTATACAGGCGATTTCAGCAATTTACCAAGAGCAAAAGGCACAGATCATTATTAATGGAAGTTTGACAACAGAGTTCAAAATCGAAAAAGGAACAAGACAGGGATGTCCGCTGTCCCCACTTTTATTTATTTTAACACTAGAAGTCTTGCTAAATACAATACGGGACTCTAATATCTTGAAAGGTATAATGATTAGGCAAGAGAATTACAGAATAAAGGCATTTGCAGACGATCTGGTTGTTACCCTATCACAACCAATGGAATCAATAATCCTGATGAAGGACATTATACAAGACTATGGTAAAGTTTCAGGTTTTAGACTGAATCCAAAAAAGACTAAAATGATAGCTAAAAACATGACACAAGATCGTAAACATGAGCTTGAAAGAAGGGCAGGTTTTGAGATTGTACCTAAGGTAAAATATCTAGGAGTTCAGGTTGCAGAATCAAACATGAAATTGTTTCAAAATAATTATGAGGTGTTGTGGCGAGAGGTGCAGAAAGATATGGAGACTTGGAAAAAACTGCAGCTGTCTTTACTTGGAAGAATAGCAGCAGTTAAGATGAACATTTTGCCAAGATTTCTTTTTTTGTTTCAAATGATTCCGGTGCTCAAAAGTGATAAACAATTGAAAGTTTGGCAAACTGGAGTGAATAAGTTTGTCTGGAACGAGAAAAAGCTGAGAGTGAAATTGAAAATTATGCAAGATGTTCCAGAAAGAGGAGGTCTTAAACTTCCAAACCTACAGTTATATTATGATGCAGCAGCTTTAACCTTAACAAGTGATTGGTTTGGAAGGAAAAAGACTGGAATATTGAATGCAGAAAGTTTTGATCTTGAATTTGGATGGCCTGCTTACTTATTCTATGATGACAAAGTTGATAAAGTATTTAAAAGTCATATACTTAGAGACTCTTTGATGAGAGTTTGGAAGAAGCACCGATTCAAATGGGATTATAAAATACTGCTATGGTTGGATCTTGGTCATATTTTGTGGAATACAAATATAATGTCACTCGGGGGGTTTTTATACAAAGAGGCTCTTTTTACAGATGCAGGCAGATGGCAGCTGAAGACATTGCAGACACTGTTGGACGAAGGGATTAATTTAACTTGGTTACAATATAATCAATTACAATTGAGATGGAAAGAGGACCAAAAAACTGGTATTATGTTGCATGAGGAAGAATTGGTTAGACATATAAAAGAGAAAGGCCCAATGCATATCAAAAGGCTTTATAATGTTTTGCTAGAAAGGGATTCAGAAACTGAATTAGTTAAAGATTGTATGATTAAGTGGGCACAAAATTTTGAAGAACCAGTGATGTTGGAAACATGGGAAAAAATTTGGGTTCAGAATGTTAAATTTACACAGTCGCAGAACCTGAGGGAAAATTTTTATAAAATGTTTTATAGATGGCATTTAGATCCCAAAAAGTTGTCATGTATGTACCCTAATGTTCAGCCAAAATGTTGGAGATGTGAATGTTTGGATGCTACGTATTATCATGTTTGGTGGACCTGTAGGAAAGTTAAGGCTTTTTGGATAAAAATTTGGTGGGTCATGCAGAATGTTTTGAAGAAAAAAATTCAATTCTCTACACAATTGTTTTTACTGGGTATAGTTAAGGGTTTTACATCGGGTGAAACAAAACTGATATTGTATATGATAACAGCAGCAAGATTGTTGATAGGTAAATATTGGAAAAATGAAGCTTTGCCCACTATTGAGGAATGGACTTTGAAGATGGCCAGTTTTGCAGAGATGGCGAAGATTTCAGCATACTTAAAAGATTGTTCACAAGAGACTTATGAATGGGAATGGAAAAGGTGGATAGAATATGTTCAGAACAAATATCAAACTAGAAAGAATCAAATAGCTTTTATTTGAAAATAATATATTAGAAATATTTTAATGTAATGAGGGTAAAAAGAAAAACTATAAAGGGGAGGGAGGGGTTCAAATTTTTACATAAGTTTTATATTAAGGGGTTTTTTTTTGTTTTTGTTTTATCTTTCTTTATCAGATATGAGTATAATATAGGGAAGTCCGGGGGGAGGGGAGGGTTAGGGAGGGTTAGGGAGGTTGGGAAGTTTGGGGGGGGTGGGGGGGGAAAGGGGTGAAAATGTAATTGTAAAACTTTTGCAATAAAAAAAAAAACAATATAAAACTTACCAAGGCAACCACTTACAAGGAGAACCAGTATAAGATGATTTATAGGTGGCACCTAGCACCAGCTAGGATTGCCAAGATTTACCCCAACTCAAACTCAAAGTGCTGGAAATGTGGACACCAGCAAGGTACTTTTTACCACTGCTGGTGGACCTGCTCTCAAGCAAAAAAATATTGGAAGGTGATTTGCAATTGGCTTTCAGAAATAATAGGTGAAACCTTTGAATTAGACCCTAAAATACTTCTCCTGGGAATTCTTAAGGCGGAAATGGCAAAAAAGAAGAAATACTTGGCAGTGCACATAATAACAGCAGCAAGAATCGCTTTCGCTCAACAATGGAAAGAGAAAAAAATTCCAACTAAGGAACAAGTAATTGGCAAAATAATGGAATGTGCCGAAATGAATAAATTAACATTAGAAATTAATGACAGAGAAGATTCTGATTATTATAGCGTATGGGACAAGTGGTACGGGTGGTTAGAGAAGAGGAAATTGAAATAAAAAGGAAAGAGACCAGAGCAAGTACAAGAAATAGTAAAATGAAATAGAAAGAGAAGATGTACTATGGATGGTAGGAATTATAATAAGGCAAGGAAAGGTTACATGGGTAAGCAAAAGACATGACTTATGTATTTACTAATTTATCGTTAAAGACTATTATATATATATACACTAAGAATGATATGAGAACACAATTTTTTATACCATGTAACTGGTTTGCAAAGATTATCTCTATATGTACAATATGTAAATTGTATTTATTTCTCTTTCCATATTATGTAACCGGATGGACAAAAATTGTATTATTATAATTTCTTAATAATAAAACATAAAAAAAAAAAAAGATTTAGATTTGAAGTCTGGTCTACCTGTCTGATTAGAAATTGTCCCTTCTGGACAAGCGTCACACTGGTAGCAGCAAACCTGCTCGCCCTCTGGAACTCTTCTCCTCTCTCCTGCATGGCACCTCTTCATGCCACACCTGGCAAAGGGCACCTTCTGAAAGAGAAAAGGCAAATACTTGAGATGACCTAAGCAATGAACCTGCTGCATTCATTCATTTCCCTTCCTTGTTCCTACTTCTATGTTCAGAATCTCTTCTAAAGAAATAGTTTGCCACCGTCTATCAGAAATCAAGAACAGCCCTGAGGTAATCAGGCCAGTGGCATTCCTGACACACCCATGGATGTGGGAGATTGGATCTGGAATCTCAGCCTGCAGAGGAAGTCTTGTGATGGGACAAGAGAATTTCTAAAAGAAAGAACCATGAGGATACAACTGAATGGAAATGGTCCATGGAAATCACTGTTCCTGGCTGTAATTGCATCCTGTCTTTCAAGCAGAAGTTGTTCTCAAGCCTAACTCTTTGCAGAATGACACAAACCAGACCTCAAATTTGTTACATACAAAGCAGATTTTTCACCAAATGGCTGCCGTGATTTCTGAGTCAATTGATTATTTTTCATGTCAAAAAGATGTTCTGCATCTCAGGAAGAGAGTGAATCTTTCTCTGAATTTACATTTCCTTGCAGCTCACCTTTGTGGCCCAGATGATTCCATCAGAGTTAATGGTGAAATCTTGTCCTGGGGGAGCCTCAGGATTTACTTGCCCAACCTTCATGGGGACAAAAGATTGATTAGGGAGGAAAACCCAGTTGAGAAGATCATAACGAGCAGATCCCAGTCCATCTTCTGAGAAGGAGACTTCATCTCCAGCACTGTTGTTGAACTGCACATTCCTCAAATAGGGAAGAATCTGAAAGAAAGGAGACCTTCAGAAATTGGAGTATTTGGGCTAGAGCTACAAATGGGACATCATGGCTTCTATCATCACATAATGGCCATCTTGAGAATATGTTTTTATATTTGAGAAGCTATTTCCATCTTTTGGTGGCGATCTGAGGAATCAGGTGTATTTAACTCTGAAACTAAAAGTTTCCCCTTTATCACTGGGCATGATTTCCAACTCCAATTTGATCAAAACAGAATTTTAGTTCCACAATCTAAATTTAATTTTAGGCTTTTCCTCTTGTGAGACTTGGCTACATGCACTTTCCAATAGTTTGTTTGTCCCAAGTTCTTGTTATCTGATAAATGAATGTTTGAAATGAATAAATTATTTCTATCAGAACCATGGAAAATTCTGCTGATTTTCTGGATCATTGACAAAGGCAGCAGAATGCAGGAACCAGGTTTGATCTACTGGGCCACGTGGAAAGAAGCATCTGACCTGGTTGGTCACTTCACTATTCAGAGAGGTCCAACATTTTAGCTTTTGATGCAGAAAATTCTGATGAATTTCAGACCAGGAACCCATTAGGACCCCTTTGAAACTTGCTCTGTGCTGTGGTTGTCATAGAAAGAGAATCATAGTATTGGAAGGGACATTGGAGGTCATTTAGTCCAAGCCCCTGCTCAACCAACAGACCCTTTACAGTTTTAGACAAGTGGCTGTCCTGTCTCTTCTTAAATGACTCCAGCTATGGGGCACCCAGGGTTTCTAAAGATAAACACTCCCTTAAGAAATTTCTCCTTAGTTCTAGGTTGCTTCTCTCCTTGGTTAGTTTCCATCCATTGTTAATCAGAAGCAGTTTTCACACAGCAAACTGAGAAGCCCAACAAAGGGTAAACTGAAAAAAAGGGCAGGGTCTCAGATGAATTGGTATGGGAGTACACAGACATTGAATCAGTAATTGAAGAAATTCATATGGGGAGCTTCCGATCTAAGTGTCTGTGGACTGAGTCAAAAGCCCCAGAAATTACCTGCCATGACTGGACATTTGAGATCCTCTTTCCAAGCCTCATCATGGTCAGTCCAACTCTGGATCCATGCACTGCATGCAAAGTGTGTGCCAGAGCATAAACAGCATTGTAGATATTGTAACTTTCACCTGTCATTCTTTTTTCAATAGTGTAATTGGGCACATTCTGCAGATTCTCCTTTCCTGTACATTGTTTTTTCCCCTTCGGAGGGATCTTTCCTGATTTACGGATCTTGCAGTTAAAGACTATTTCCCACCATAGAGGGAGAAAGACATCTCCTTGGGGGTTCAAGGGGTCTAAAGACAGGAAGAAGTGGCTGAATTCAGAGACATCCCCGGAGTGGTCCCTAAAATGCAAGGCCCCGTGCAAAAGATTTATATATTGCAATGTTTCTTCAAATTCTTCTATGCCAAGTTTCCAATGGGAAGTGAAGATCCAAACTTTCCTAAATGATACTTTTTCGAGTTTTTCAAAAAAACATACCACTGATATTAAACTGGCACTAACATTTGAGTCTCCAAATATAATAAACACTTCTGTTTTAGACAAGGTGCGGAAATTGAGAATTAATTTCATCACAGTGATTTGATAATTATCTGATTTCAGCATTTCAGTGAAGGCCAGGCAGATCTCCTTCTCCTGGAGCATTGGTGTCAGAGTTGAGACGAAACGTTCTCCCCTGTCATCTTCAGGGGCCAGAAGCCCAACCCAGTTCCACTGGAAGTACAGGAGCAGCTGGACTAAACCCACATACTGAGGAGATTCCTTGGGATTCATCCAGAAGAAGGAAGGATAAACGCTTCTCTCTCCCTGAGAGAACTCAAAGCCAACACCGAGCTGGAGAAAAAGAGATTCTTTTTTCAAAGACAAAGTAAAAGTTTTATGTTGACTTTAGTAGTGACCATTGTGTGGATGATGGCCCCCCAGTCAGGTTGATTCACTTTGACTGGCAAACTTAACCCTCTTCCCTTCTTATTGGTTGTGGTACATCAAAAGACAAGAGAAGAAACCAACAACCTGATACAGAGAATAAATGGCACTAAAATGATGTCTACCCTTTAATAAAGGATAATCTAAGAGTCAAAACTCATTATATGCCCCCACCCCACAAAAAAAACTACTTTTAGTTTCATCTTGGCTTTTGTGTGTGCTTTTGATCTTTGTCTATTCCATACTGTATCCAGGAGAGCTCTCTTACCTGTGGGATCTTAAAGATGCTGAAGATGGAGGCCATCAGCCTTGAGGACTTGGCACTGAGACCACCAATGATGGACAGCAGAGTGTCCTGCAGGTCACATTTGTAACCTGGAACCACTTGGCCTCGTGAGGAGAGCATGGAGAGGCTGTTTAAGGAAATAAATATCTCCCTCTGGAAATGGCGGTAGATGTGGAAGCCAAGGGTGATGTTGGGGAGCAGAAGAAAATCCTTATTGACCTCAGAGACAGCAAACATCAATGCAAGGAACTGCTGGTAGTTACTGGGTACGAGACTGTAGTAAGAAAAACGTTGGAGAACATGACAGGAAAGCTTGTGCATGGCTGTAGAATTTGCTTCACTGTTTGGGGGAACTTTTGGGGGCAGCAATTCGCAAATTTCATTGGGTTTGGTTTTTTTTCAAAGGATTTCCCTTGGCTAAACTTGGATGACTTTGTGAGAAAGGAGACAAGCCTTTCCATCAATATCATGGACTGTTTTATACTCTCTATCATCCCTGCCATATTCACTTTGCTCCAGTGGCTGTAATTCTTTCCAACTGCTCCCCTTTCACCGTAATTATTTAAGGTCTCTCTTGGAGCAGCTTCTTCAGGTGTGGTAAGGATTGCTGAGCACAGGACTACAGTGGGGTCTCCTCATAGATTTACTGAAGGCCATTATTTATTTATTTTTAATTTAGTTAGTTAGTTTGTCAAACATATATAAGATAACAGATATAACTATAAACATGATTATGAATACAGAAAATGGATGCAAATAAATGGGGACAGTAGGACAGGGATAGTTGGCACATTGGTGCTCTTATGCACGCCCCTTACAGACCTCTTAGGAATGTGGTGAGGTCCACGGTAGACAGTTCAAGATTAAAGTTTTGGGGGTTTGTAACAACAGAGTCAGGTAGTGCATTCCAGGCATTGATTACTCTGTTGCTGAAGTCATATTGTCTGCAGTCGAGTTTGGAGCAGTTTCCCTTATGTTTGTATCTATTGTTTGCCCATGTGTTATTGTGGTTGAAGCTGCAGGAGTCATTGAAAAGTAGGACGTTGTAGCAGACAATTTTGCGTACTATGCTTAGGTCAGACCATAGGCGGTGTAGTTCTAGGTTGTCCAAGCCCAAAATTTCATGCCTGGTGGCATAAGGTATTCTATTGTGAGCAGAGGAGTGGAGTTCTCTTCTCGTGAAATATCTCTGGACTCACTCAATTGTATTAATGTCTGTCGCGAGAATATCCTGATAATCCTGATGGTTTCCTGATTGCTTATTTGTATCCTATGATTATCATTAAGTGTTGTACCTTAGAATTCTTGACAAACGTATCTTTTCTTTTATGTACACTGAGAGCATATGCACCAAGACAAATTCCTTGTGTGTCCAATCACACTTGGCCAATAAAAAATTCTATTCTATTCTATTCTATTCTATTCTATTCTATTCTATTCTATTCTATCCTATCCTATCCTATCCTATCCTATCCTATCCTATCCTATCCTATCCTATCCTATCCTATCCTATTCTATAAAAAACCCAAAGAGGAAACCACAAGCAATAAATCTTACTTTAAGATCAGAGGTTTATTTTCTTTTCTTTTTTTTTTAAATAATATTTATTGAATTTCCAAAAGTTAAAATACACAATAGAAAAAAAAATCACAATACACAAAAACAACAACAACAACAACAAAAATGAAAATGAAAAAATATAAAACACACAAAGACAAACACGTCAAAATTACATTACTCATAACAGCTTTTCCTACATCGGTATCTCTTATCCTATTTAACCTCTATATACAGATTCTACTTATTTATTTATTTATTTATTTTATTTAATTTCTATACTGCCCTTCTCCTGCAGGACTCAGGGCGGTGTACAGCCAAGATAAAACATAGCATATAAAATTTAAAAAACAATTTAAAAAACAATTAAATAATTTTGGCCCAAGTTTAAAACAACCCAATTAAAACCGAATTCAATTAAAAACTAAGAGGATGGGATCAAGCCCAATACTTCTAAGTATCTCTATAAACCAACATTCTTATTTAAATTATTTTAACCTCTATTCAGAATTCAGTCTCATGACAAAAATCTCCCTTAAGTTTTATGCTTACTGTCCAGCCAGGAATACCATCTATTCCATGTTCGATAGTACTCAGTATCCTCCCTCTCCTTCATTTCCATCGATAATCTGTCCAATTCTGCACATTCATATATTTTTTTATTATAATTTGATCCGGTGGGATATCCGGATGTTTCCAATTCTGTGCTATCACAATTCTACATGTCGTCAATATGTGCAATATGATATATTGTATCTTTCTTTCCATTTTCCCTTCCAGAATGCCCAATAGGAATAGTTCCAGGTTTTTTTCTATTTTCTGCCCTATTATTTCATCCAGCCAGATTTTTATCTTCCCCCCCCAAATTTCTTAATCTTAGGGCAGGTCCACCACATGTGGTAGAATGTCCCTTGTTCGTGACCACATCTCCAACAATTCGGGGACCTATTTGGAAACATCCTGGCCAATCTCGCTGGTGTCAAATGCCATCTATAAAACATTTTGTTTTCTTTATAAACAGCTGACATCGTTAGTTTGTAGTTTCTCTCCCATAATCCCATAATCATACTGACCAGCAGTTTAACGCATACTCACATGTACACATGAAATCTTTTGCCATCTGTTATTCTTACTTCCTTTACTACCGAACGTTTCTTAATTTCCTTGGTTCAAAATAGCTTCTGAGACTATCTACTTAAATTTAAGATTAATTTATGCCAAACCAGCTGATTACAAATATTGCTTTCCCCTTGCAAAATCTCTCTATCTTGCACTTTTAATATATGGCTATTAAATTTGAGGCCTACCTAATTTTAATCTTGATTCTTTCCTTTCACAAGTCCAAATACAGTGCGGATTCCAGACAGATGAGCTGTATTCGAGAATTGGTCTAGCAAAGGTTTTGTGTGCCCTAAAGTAAGTTATTTATTTATTTATTTATTTATTTATTTATTTATTTATTTATTTATTTATTTATTTATTTATTTATTGGTTTGATTTATATGCCGCCCTACTCCAGAGACTCAGGGCAGCTTACAATGCATTAAGCAATAGCCTTCATACTTTTGTATATACCTGCTTAGTAGGGCTTCCCCCGCCCCCCAAGTGATGTTCTTTTTTATACAAAGTCAGTTTATTGCCCCCACAATCTGGGTCCTCATTTTACCTACCTCGGAAGGATGGAAGGCTGAGTCAACCTTGAGCGTGGTGAGAATTGAACTCGCAGTAATTGCAGGCAGCTGGCAGCTAAGTGCTACTTAACAGCACTTTAGTCTGCTGCACCACCAAGGCTCTTTTACAATATTACCAGAGAAGAAACTTTGCAAGATTAGGTTAACAACTCTTAATGCCTTTTTGGCAATTCTGTTACAGAGGGCTCTGGTGCTTAGATCATTTGAGATGGGTACTCCAAGGTCCTTGACAGAGTGAGGGTTGTCTACGAGGTTGTATCCGCCCAGCTTATATTTAGTGTTCAGATTTTTTTTGCCAATGTGTAAGACAGAGCATTTGTTGGTTGAGATTTGGAGTTGCCAATTGTTTGATCATTCTGACGCATAGTCAAGGTCTCTTTGTAGGGCAGCAGCATTGTTGGAAGTGTTGAATAGTTTTACGTCGTTAGCGAAGTGTACGCAGTTGCTTATAATATGATTGCAAAGGTCATTTATGTAAAGTGTTGGATAAAGAGTGTTGGCTCTAAAATGCTGCCTTGGGGGACACCACTGTTAACAGGTGCAGGGTTTGATAGGGCGCTCTCTATTTTGACTCCTTGTTGCCTGTTTGACAGGAACGCAGTTATCCATTTATGCAGGGATCTGGAAATGCCATAAGATTTTAGTTTTAACAGTCATTTGTCGTGTACTACTGAATCCAAGGTTTTGCAGTAAATGTACTATGTAAATTGCGTCTATTGCTTTACCTTGGTTGAGTTGTGTAGTTCATATGTTTTTGCAGTGCAAAACAGGATGAAATTTTCCTGAAATCAAACTGCTTGTTAGAGAGTAGGTTGCTTGTCTCTAAGTGGCAGGTAATTGGTTTATGATTGATTCCATGACTTTGCAAGTGACACAACACAATGAGATTGGTCTGTATTTTTCAACTAGACTGGGGTTACCCTTTTTGAAAATAGGGATGACTGTGGCTAGTGACCGTAGGTTGGGCAAGGAGCTGGTTCTGAAAGATATTTCCTAGATTATGCTTAGAGGTTCTGCTATGACAGTGGAAAGCTTTTTAAAGAAGTAGGCACATAATCCATCAGGGCCAATAGATAGAGATGGTTTTAGGCTGCATGGTGCTTTTTCAATGTTATCTTCTGTAAAATCGATATGTAGTAGATAGTTGAAATTAGTTGTGTTACGACTAAGAAATGTGGGGCATGGGTCATTGCTGTTTTCAGAGATTGAACTGAAGAATGTGTTGAAGAGGTTGGCCTTAACAGCTTCATCATTACAGTCTTTCCCGTTAGGCCCTTTTAGTGGTGGGATGGATCTCGAGTCTTTAAGTTTGTTATTTACAAAACTATAGAAGGCATGGGTGGATTTTGTGCATAGAAGGTTTCCCTCTTGTTTGCTGCAGTAATTGGTGCATTCTGCCTTTATCTGGTAGCATAAGGTTTTGTAGCAGCTTTTAAAGTTAGCTACGTAGCCAGGGTTTTTTTTTTCACCAAAAAGATATATTTTTTTTTGGATTGAAGCTTCCTTATTGTTATGGGTAATTTGTCTAGTATAGTTTGTTACTAGTTGATCCAGTCCCAGATTAGTAATGGCATTGTACAGGTTTGTATGTATGGATTCAGTTGTACATTCATTTAGGGTCCAATTAATAAGAGATAGATTGAGGTCACCAAGAAAGATAAGAGGGTGTGGGCAGGAGGCTGCCCACTTTAGTAGTGAAGGTAGCTTGTTCGCATGTACAAGCTCATTATTTATGAGCAATGCTGATTCCAATGCCAAGAGGGAATTTTGTAACTCCTGAACACTTGAAGAGTATTGAGCTTTTATCTGAATTTTCTACCAGAAGTTACTGGTCAGATTAATATTATAATTTCAGTTCTTAACTAGGTCAGTATAGTTTACCTCTTCATTTTTGTTGTTGATCATATTCCTGTTGAAGAGATTGAGAATTCCAGCCTATTTTAAGAGTTTGCTAATTTATTGAGAAAAGTACAAAATGTGCACTATACCAGGACAGTACAAATACTAAAAGAAGTAATTCTGAAAAAAGTCACCGAATTTAAAGCAAAGAGAATAATTATCTACATATTTCCCCTCTAGCTGAAACGTACCCATTCTGTAGACGATGATTCAGTGTATTAAATTCTGGGACAACAGACTTTAAAATGATTCCCAAGGGCAAATTCCCACCAATAATGAGATCACCAAGCCTGTAGTAGCTTTCCTTTAATGGGATATAATCCTTGAGCACACAAATGGTTTGCAGCCTCTTTGCTGTAGTTGGAGCCAGGAGCCAAAAGAGCATCAGCATCAGCAGTAGCATAACTCCTGCCCAGTCATTCTTATCACCTTCCCTCCTAGAACAGAAATCAAGGTTTATGCAGAAACTGATTTGAAGGTTGCTCCTGAAATCTCACTGGAATTTTAGCAGATCAGACACCACCTGTCCTACCTGGATAGCACCAGGACAAATTTATATCAACAATGGTTCCTCTTACCTTTGTTTGGGCTGTGACGATAGAGGAAGCAAAGGCATATGAGTCTCTTCCAAGCCAGGAGTGATCTCTTTGCAAGACATTTCTGCCCCCCAGCTGGTGAACTCAGAGATAATTTTTAAAGCCACTTTTATCCTGGAAGATCTTTGTGTCTAGAAATCCACAGGGGATACATGAAGAATGACTGTTCTTCTGATAATTGCAGGGAAGAGCCATTGTCCTATCCCCTTAGCAACAGCTTCTCTTCATGCAGCAGAATGGAAAACATGTTTGTGTCTCTTGTAATTCTCAGAGCAGATGGAGTCATGGGGAAGTTGTGTAGTTGACCTACATGAAAGTGACCCCTGCACACAAGATGGATTTTGGCTTATGCCCTAGTTTGCTCAGATAATAGGAGTGCTAGTTGGCAATAGTGGCACAAGGCAGAAATGGAATCTGAGGAAGAATCTCAGGATATTAACTGCAATTTTTTGGGGGATACTTGCAAATTTCTGTTGCTGTAGCCGAAGGGTAGCAATTGTTATCTGGGTGTCTCTTTTGGTCTTTTGGGGTGCTGCTCCCCAAATTGGCAGGTCTGAAATTCTCTTCTTAAAGATTCATTCACAGGACCAGTTGGGATTGTTACTACTATACCAGTCTTCCTGCTGCACAGCAACCACCATGTCTGAGTCTCTGGAGGGCATTTCACAGTTGACTGTGGAATTCGCCAGACATCTTAAGAGATGTCCATTTGCCATCCCCATGGCTGGCCTTAGAGGCATCTCACCATGGCCACCATCATTCTTGGCTCATTCTCTTCAGGGAGCCTGGATCTCTTTGACCAGTCCACTCTTAGTGATTGATGGGGTTCCAAAGGGAACTGAGGATTATACTCCAGGCTCTGCTGCATGGTCCTTCTGAGACCTTGACCACTAACTAGCCTTCCCTGGACCCGGCAGTATTGGCTAATTATCGTCCAGCGAAGGTTGTTGAGAGTGTGGTTGTGCGACAGCTTCCCCAGTACCTGGATGAAACGTCGTATCTAGATCCGTTCCAGTCGGGTTTCAGGCCTGGGTACAGCATGGAAACGGCATTGGTCGCGTTGGTTGAAGATCTCTGGAGGGCTCGGGACAGGGGTTGCTCCTCTGTCTTGGTCCTGTTAGATCTCTCAGCGGCTTTTGATACCATCGACCATGGTATCATGCTGCACCGGTTGGAAGAGTTGGGGGTGGGAGGCACCGTATTATGGTGGTTCTCCTCCTTTCTCTCTGACCGGTCACAGTCTGTGTTGACAGGGGGGCAGAGGTCAACCCCGAGGCCCCTCATATGTGGGGTGCCGCAGGGATCGGTCCTCTCGCCCCTTTTGTTCAACATTTATGTAAAGCCGCTGGGCGAGATCATCCGTGGTTTCGGGGTGAAGTACCATCAGTACGCTGATGACACCCAGCTGTACATCTCCACCCCGGACCACCCCAATGATGCCCTTGAAGTGATGTTCCGGTGCCTGGAGGCCGTACGGATCTGGATGGGGAGGAACAGGCTCAGGCTCAACCCATCCAAGACTGAGTGGCTGTGGTTTCTGACGTCCCGATATAGTCAGCTGGTGCCATCGCTGACTATTGGGGGTGAATCATTGGCCCCCACGGAAAGGGCTCGCAACTTGGGCGTCCTCCTGGATTCATGGCTGTCTTTAGAAGAGCACTTGACGGCCGTGACCGGGAGGATTTTTCATCAGGTTAGCCTGATCCGCCAGTTGCGTCCCTTTCTAGATCGGGACTCCCTACATACGGTCACTCATGCCCTCGTCACCTCTCGTTTGGACTATTGTAACGCTCTCTACATGGGGCTCCCCTTGAGGTGCACTCGGAGCCTCCAACTGGCGCAGAGTGCAGCCGCGTGGGTGGTTATGGGAGCAACGTGGAGCTCCCATGTAACACCTCTCCTGCGCGAGCTGCACTGGCTCCCGGTGGTCTTCCGAGTGCGCTTCAAGGTTTTGGTTACCACCTTTAAAGCGCTCCATGGCTTAGGACCTGGTTATCTACGGGACCGCCTGCTACCACCAATAGCCTCCCACTGGCCAGTACGCTCCCATAGAGAGGGGCTCCTCCGGGTGCCGTTGGCCAAACAATGTCGACTGGCGGCCCCCAGGGGGAGAGCCTTCTCTGTGGGGGCACCTACGATCTGGAACGAGCTCCCCCCGGAGATACAGAGGATCCCGGATCTTCGCACCTTCCGTCGTGCGCTTAAAACGTTTTTATTTCATCAAGCTGGCCTGGCCTAAATCATCTCCTCTTTTAAATTTAAATTTTAAACATAAATTTTAATCTGTTTAATTATGGGGTATTTTAAAATTCAGCCTAAATTATTTAATTTGTTTTAATTATTTTAGATTTTGTATTTCCTGTGTTTTATCTTCTGGCTGTTCACCGCCCTGAGTCCTTCGGGAGAAGGGCGGTATAGAAATTTAATAAAATAAAATAAATAAATAAATAACTGGAATAGGAAAGCTACTGAGGCCTTGGATGGGATCACTCGCATGCAACTTCTCTTAGTCCATTGTTCCCAACATGCCCCAGGATTCAATTGAGGGAGCTGAAAAGGATCAAGAGACATCCAGGGTGGGCATGGCTGGATTGTTGTGGCTGTCTGGATGGGTGTGGCCAGGGGGGACGTGGCCACAGTGGGCATTGCCAGCTCGATGTCCCTCACGTAAGGGGGTGGGACCAGAGTGGGTGCCAGGCCCTTATCCATTGGAGGAGCCTCTCTGATCCTCTCGGGCCATGTGGGCAGGCCCTGGGCAACAGGCACCCGACCTTGAGCTCCCAGAACTGCATGGCCAAGCCCCACTTCCCTGAGGGGATGGCTGGGCTCACTTGCCTCCTGATCCAGGCTGCTGCTGCTGTGCTCACTCTAATTGCCCAGGCCGGACTTCCTGGGCTGTGGGGAGATGGGGCGCTGGAGGGGGCTTCTGCTTTTGGTGCCAGTGCTTGAAGTCAAGGCAGAGGGCGAGGTGGGTGTGGTCTGCCTGTGGGGCCCTGATACACACAGGTGCAGAGCATGTGGGTCAGCACTGGGGCTGGCCGTGGGTTGGGCAGAATGGGGAAGGGAGTCCCAGCTGCCTCTTGGGAATGGGTCTCCCTGCCCTTCCCATAAACAGGGGCTATTGTGGTTGGGATGGTGTGGGGAGGCTCATCCCACATGTCTGGCGGAGCTGGAGTAGGAGATTTGGACGGCACGTGCTGAGCCCCATGGCGACAGCACCAGCAGCAGGTGGAAGCAGATGCATGGAGGGAGGCATGAGATTTGGCCTGCAAGGGGGCCACCTAGCCACCTGCTCCGTCCCAGCTGGGATGTCCGCAGGGAAGCAAAAACAAATGGTGGGACAGAATGGGTGGGTGAGTGGGTGGCTGCCAGTCCATTCTGCATGCCAGATCATGTGCCTCCGCCCCATACCTCTGCCTCCACCTGCTCCTTGGAGGGCCGGCCTGGTGGTCCCAGTGCTCCGACCCACCTGCACAGCATGGATTGCAGAGTCCCACTGTGTGCCAGTTGGATGCGGTTACTGCCAGACACTATTGGCCCCCATGCTCTCACCATTTCCTGTGGGTGCACCAGGGTGGGATTGGCCTTGTGTTTGACATATCTGAGCTAGAGCTTCTATTAAGGCCTACCTCATGGCAGTACAAGGTGCAAAATGTCAATATTTCTCCATTCTTATTGCACTTCTTAGAGCACTGAGTGAACCCTATGGACTTTTTAAAGATTATCCGGAACCTTCTGGGTAAGGGTCACATTTAGGATTTCCTTCAGGCATCACAGAGGAATTCTCCATGCAGCTGGTTGACAAAATTCCTTGGATCTGTTCCCTGTTGGAGGCCAAGCATGGTGTAGATCCTATAGAGATGGCTTGGGAAAGGATTTATCCAGTTATCTAGGAACAGTTTGGTCCTCTTGATCCCAAGGAAGTCAACAGAGTCCTTGGGATGTAGATGTGACCACCTTTGAACTAGATCCATGCCCCCCTTGGCTGGTCAAGGCCACCTAGGAGGTGACATGTGGGTGGATCCTAATGATGGTTAATTCATCCTTGAGGAAGAGGGTCTTCCCAGCATCATTTAAAGAGCTGCTGTTATGGCCTCTCCTCAAGAAACCTTTGGTAGACCCCACCATGCTGATTATTTCATCCAGTCTTCCACCTCCTCTTTTAAGAGAAGGTGATTGAGAAAGTGGTAGGGCTGCACCTTGAGAGGATCTTGGATTAAATGGATTATCTAGACTCCATCCAGTCAGGTTTCAAGCCCGATAAGGGACAGCAACACCATTAGTCACACTTTTGTATGATCTCTGGTGGAAGCAGGACAGAGTTCATTCATCCATTCTTGTCCTTGCAGTCTCTTCTATGGCTTTTGAATTTTTCGCTGGTTGATCTCCTGTGCCAGTCCCAATGGATCTCAAGGGAGAATGAGAGGTCCACCAGGCAGCCCCTGCCTTGTGAGATGCCAGAGGACTTGGTGCTCTCTTTGTTCCCATTTAACATCTACATGTTACCATAGAATGAGATATATCTGTATGCAGATGATACCCTGTTGTACATCTGTGTCCCAGGTGTAACAGATACTATGGATGTTCCTTCATGGTGCCTGGATGCTGTGGGGATCTGGATGGGGAACGAAAGGCTTCAACTGAACCTTGGTAGGATGGAGTGGTTGTGGGTAGGTGGGAGTTCCTCTAGCTGAGTGTTTATCATCTTTGGACATTAAGGGGTTGCAATGCTTCAGATTGAGCTGGTGAGAGCCCTCCTGGTCTCAGAACTCTTCCTTGAGGAACAGGTGACAGTTGTGACTAGGCAGTCCTTTGTGTAAATTCTTTTTTAAAAAATGTTTTTTATTTTAATACAAACATTCCATCTTTCATTAAACAGTGTGTCATCTGGGTACAAATATTTTGTGCAATAAACATTAAAATTACAGCCATGTTCATTATCTTATCTATTCTTAAATTGATACTAATACATTACATACTATTGTAACAATCCCCTTAACTTATTTAACTCTATTAATACAGTTTCCCTCTTTCACTCCTCTGCTTTCATTTCTAATTTTCATATTTATTCTCTAACCATTGATAAAATAACTCCCATTTACTATAATAATCAGATTTTTCCTTTTCTTTAATTGCAAGTGTTAATCTATTCATTTCTGCACATTCTAAGATTTTCTTAATCACTTTCTCATCCGTAGGGACCTCTTCATTTTTCCAATTTTGTGCAAATACAACTCTAGCTGCAGTTATTACATGAATAATCAAATATACATTTTCATTACATTGTCCAATATTTTTTAGCTTTTACACATGTCCACCACCTATGATAGTATGACCCCGGTATCTGATGACATTTCCAACATTTGACTGATTTATCTTTAAACATCTTTGCTACTCTTTCCAGTGGAAAGTGCTCCCTATAAAACATCTTATGCAAATTCTCCTTCTATGCAGTTGATATCTGACCCTCCCCCACTGCCTCTCTCTGGGCAATTCACTGTGGGACAATTGCCTAAACAGATTTACCATGTGGGAAAATTAGCCATGTGCATCTCAAGTGTTCCCAGATCTAAACTGGTCCCAGAAGGTCCTTCCAATCAGTAAACACTCTGCTAGCTCCATTCAATTGCCCAGACTCCACCCCACAAAGCATTATGGGATCATTAAAAGAAGAAGAAGATGATGATGAGTATATCCTGGATAAATTCTATCCAGAGAATAGTGAGAGGAAATCTTGAAGACCAAAGGATGCACTCATATTTGTACATTTGAGAAAGGAGGAGAAAATGGTTCATGCATAAGAAATAAATGATGTAATCATATATATTCCTAATTAACAGTCTATCAGTTGTTTTCCCACTTTTCTACTGCTACTATCATCAACGAAGAAGTATTCTCTTTAATCAAAGAACATATCAGTTACATTACCTTACATTGCCATAGATGTTTTGTTAAAGCTTATGGAAAACCAGAGAATTCAAGTATGTTATTTTTTTGGGTCAATTAGCAAACACTCCTTCTAATTTTCTTTCTCTCACATGACAGACCATTTGAAGGAAAGAGAGATGTTGTCAAAAATAACTTAATACTGTTAGGGGACTCCAAGAAGCCTCAGACATCTAAGGAAACATCCATATATGTTTTAAAAAACTGATACTGAACCAAAACCTTTAAAACACTCTATGAAAAAACAACTAAATGGCAAAAGATTAAAATGAGAAAATTTCCTCTTTGAAATAATAAACACATTTTTAAAAACTATCTTTCTATCCACACTGGGCACTGGACAACACAAGGATGCTTTGAAGACATGATAAAGAAAAGGCTGGGTGATTGTTGCTGAAAGCAGGTATATTGTAACCAGTTGCAGCAATTGATAAGCAGTTCTTTTAGGGACAAATTCCTCTTTCATGTCATCATTTTTTCTGAAATCTTATCACAGTCTAAACATGCCCAAAGACAAATAATATAAATGAGGCTGATTCATGTATTAGTTAGAAATTCTTGTTCCTTACTATATTTTCTCTACAATTCAGATCCGGCCTCAGTAGAATAATGTAGCATTTGGGGAAAAAGATACAAGCCAAGAGAGCAGCTCCAGAGGCCAAAATGGAGAAGATCTCCACAGCCACCATGGACTTCCCTTTGGAGCTCAGGTAGGTGGGGAGGAAGGAGATCCAAACAGTGCAAAAGACCAGCATGCTAAAAGTAATGAACTTGGCTTCGTTGAAACTATCAGGCAATTTCCTAGCCAGAAAGGCCACTGTGAAACTGATGAAGGCCAGAAAACCTAGATAGGCAAGAACAATGTAAAACATGAAAGCTAAGTCCTGCTTACATTCCAAGACAGCCTCTCCAAACACAGAATGAAAGTCCAAATTAGGAAATGGGGGAGAGGTGACCAGGCAGGAGGCACAAAGGACTGTTTGGATCAGGGGACAGGCTATGACAATGGTGTTGGTCAGTGGTTTTCCTAAGAATTTTCTTGTCCTGTTCCCTGGCTTGATGGCCATAAAAGCCAGAACCACCATGACAGTTTTTGCCAACACAGAGGAAACTGCAAGGGAAAAGAGAATGGCAAAGGCAGATTGTTGGAAGAGACAGGTGAGCTTCCGAGGTCGACCAATGAAAAGGAAGGAACAGAGGAAGCAGAGCAGGAGGGAGATGAGGAGGATGTAGGTGAGATCTCGGTTGTTGGCCTTGACAATTGGTGTGTCATGATATTTATAGAAAATCACCAGGACTGCAGATGTGCTCACAGAGAGAAAAAGAGTGAGAGAAACTAAAGTGTATCCCAGGGTGTCTTGATAGGCAAGGAAGTGGATCTTCTTGGCAATGCATTGGTCCTTGTCCTTGTTGGGATATTGGTCTTCTGGGCAGGGTTCACATTGAGCTGCATCTGAAATCAAGAATCTTTGCTTAAGAATTCAGTCATTCAAGGAAATCATGCTGCACTTATAATGATTCTAGGATAGATTAGCCAGTGACGAGGATTAGTTCAATTCCAGCTATCCATTCATTATGAAATTCCACGAGTAATGTGGTTTTCAGTTTGAAATTGCTGCCTGTTTTCTCCCCTACTTTATAATGGAACACACAGAAGATCGATAGATCTGTTATCCAGGAATGTTGCTATTTGTTTATCTGTACATGATCACTGCCTTAACCTCTCTGCTTTGTGCTTCAAAACTGTTCATTCAGACTTATTTGATCGCTCCTACTCTATCAAAGAGACACAGATAGATGAATCTCCTCTTTCTCTGGCAGGTCTATTTCCTCGGAGGTTGATAGTATTGATGGATGAAGCATGCACTAAGTAATAAGAATTAAAGCTTGGACTGAAAACCCCACTTCCTCAGGAAAAGATTAGAATTTGGGTTTCACAATCAGATATTACAGGAGGAGTTGAAATGCAAGTTGGAGATTCATAAATTCTGCTCTAAAACTATCCTGCATGGAACTGTTGAGGATTGGGAAAGGTGACTTCTGTGGCCAGGACAATTTAGATCCTTCAACTGAAAGGTTCTAGTGAAAAGTACGAGTGCATGCCAATCATGTCAAAAATGATCACAATAAACAAAATAGATTTAATGAATGTCTTCTTTGATCCTGGAAGATCTATTTTTGAAGTCTGCTCTACCTGTCTGATTAGAAATGGTCCCTTCTGGACAAGGGTCACACTGGTAGCAGCAAACTGGCTTGCCCTCTGGAACTCTTCTCCTCTCTCCTGCATGGCACCTCTTTGTGCCACATCTGGCAAAGGGGATGGTCTGAAAGAGAAATATTTGAAATTACTTAAGCAATGAACTTGCTGCATTCATTCTTTCCCTCATTCCTATTTCCCTTTTTTATTCCTACTTCTATTTTCAGATTCTCTTCTTAAGAAATAGATTGCCACCATCTATCAAAAACCAGGAACAGCTGCTGGGGGATTCAGGCCATTGGCACTCCCAACCTACCATCAGATGTTGGAG